ACAAAATACACTTCTCAGTTGTTTTTGAATGTTATAAAAGACGAGTGATATCTAATAAAATTTATTAAGTTTATTGTCTATTTTGTTGAGTCGTCTTATGTAATATGTCATCTATTGAAAGTGTACAAAACTATGACACTAGAAATATATCATTTATTCACTTTTTATTCGCACATTTTTTAAGAATCTACAACTTTTTATCTACAAAAATACTTTACCAAACTTACTCGATGTGAATGGTTCGAATGACATATAATCTTGAATTTGAGGTCATAATATTACTCATTACATGCACAGGAAATTAAAAGAAATTTTGAGAGATTTTGAGATAATGGCACTTGAGTTGGAATTTTATGGATAAGAAATAAAAACAGTGTTTATTTAGGATTAGAAAACGAAGTAAAAAAAATGATAGGTGATGTTTAATAAAGGAAAGCAATGCCCATTAAAGATTAAAAGTAAAAATGCACAAGTGGGATTTAGGTGCATGAAAATGAGTTCTAACCTATTCGGTGCAATGCTTTATTTATGATTAATGGTGAATAAGGTTCGTTACGGATGAATGTAGACGTGCGTGATTTGACGTAAATTTACATTTATATATTGATAGTCTTAAATAAGTTTGTCATTTACACCATCTATCCTCATAAACTTGTAAAGTCTTGTTGACAAACTCAACAATCGTACCATTATTCCATAATATCTACGATATTCATAACAATGTATTAAATACACGATAATCGACTGAACCAACCAATTGATCGGACTTTAACCCGATTCTTTATTAACATGTTATATCGAGAGTATAAAAAAGTCCGTACAATTTTCAAAACAGCAAAAGAAATTGGAATAATCCTCTCCATTATTTTATTTTGTCGAATGTCATAATCCACAAATTGTACCTAGTATGAATGGAAAACTAAAAAGTATATATTGTATCAGCATTTCATTACTAGAAATGGTGGCATAAGAAGTTAGGACATAGCACTTTGAAGCACACCGAATTGTCCAATCGAATTTGATGTGTTTGAGTGGATCCAACTAAGATATATAATCAAAATAAATAAACAGATTTTCCTTTAAAAAAATAAGTACAGCAAAAGATTTAATAAAATCTGTTCAGGCTCCCAAAGGTCACAAGTGGTAAATTATATATGTTTTTGACTAAAATCCTTACATCTTCTTTATGTCATACAACTTTTCTACATTCAACCCATGACAATGGTGGATTCTGATTCAGACCATTGTATTCAACACGTGGCAGCTAATGAATCGCAGTCGAGGACCCGTCGCCTTCTTGGCAGCCCCAATATAGATTTATCGTGAAAAATTTCTCCATTTAAAGCTCATACAAATCTCACATCGTTTAAATGAGGGTAAATTCTTTTAGGGGTCTCGAACATTTCTTTAGTGTGGCATTCATGTTCATAACCTTTAGTTTGTGGCAGTCTCCAACCTTTTAACATTGTACGCAAGGCATCCCATTCAAATATCAGCTAGATGGTCAAATGTCCACTCCGCACATGATAAATGACTAATGGGTATAGAACTCAAATGGATGGTTTTGTGCTTAGTATTGATTCTCTCTCTTGATTTGAGACCCATCATTCATATAGATGGGGTAAACTAATGAGCTTGGATATTACTAATAGAATAGCTACAAATTAGAACAATATTCTTGCTGATCTATTAAGAACAAGAAAACCTTCACCAAAGAATTTGTAATTTTGAGGAGAAATTAGTACAACAAGTAGTGGATACACTTCTTGTTTCTTGATAGTAAAATCCCTGAACAACCAATAAGGGATGGTCATAATAAAGTTTACAAGTCATTTTGAGATGTAATTATAGCAAAGAATGAAGATTTTATGAGACTCTTTTAGAAAAAACGGTTTGATTATTTAGGTCATTCCGTTATTGTTGTGAGACTTTTACTTCCATTACATCGAGATTAATTGCTGCATGAAATAACAATAGAGCTTTTCTAAACATTAGTAGTTTGTGATCTTATTAGACATCAACTTGCTTCGAACATAGGAGTTGGAAAAACAATTGGTAGTATGAAAAATACTTCAAGAAATTGTGCAAAGGCATCCTGTATTGCTAATTAAGCTTACAAGCATTTCAACCTATGTTAGTGAAGAGGTGTGCTGTTCTTTTACATCCATTAGTAGGAAAGGAAATCAATGCAGATTTTGTAAGGGATCAAATAGCTATTTATGTAACTTTATTTGGAAGGCGCCTATTTACTTACATTTTCTCATATGAATTTTTTGCTCTAGCTATAGGGGATCTCACTTTCATACCAACTCAAGATATGTTTATTGGACATCGTGTTTTAAAAAGCAGGAATCATCAAGATATTTGTGTAATTAGGTATATTTGTGAATTTGTAGAAACTATCAATATAAAAAAAGATAACAATAATAACTATGTATGTATACGAAAGAACTCCTATTTCTAATTCCTATGACACAATTGGAGCTTATCGACCAAAAATAAATAAAATTAGATGGTCCCGATGGCGATTAAATCATCGAGCTATTTCTTCAAGAGAAAGTTCCATTGAAGTTCACTATAAACTTTAAGTACTTATTATGAGATTTATGGACACTATCTAATGGTAAGAAGTATAAAAAAGAAATTCTTTTACATACATCCAAACCACTACTTGTCATATTTCTCTTTATTAAGCAATTGAACAAGCCAAGGTTTTCTTGGGCTTGTTCATATGGTAGCTAACTTCAATTCAAAAAAGTCCTAGTTCTAAAATGTCTCCTAGAATTAAGATTGAAGAAAGGAAGTTTTTCAATCACGACTCAAACTTATTATCAAACCATACTCGGCGGAATATGGAGGTACTTATGGTAGAACAGGTCAATTTATTATTTTACAATGAAGTGATAGAAACTTCCATGAAACGATTTTTTAGTAGAGTAATAGATTATTTCGAAATGGTATATACATCAAACATCCTGGATCAAGTAAATACTAGATTTCCGCAGAGCTATTGTCACATCAATTTTATTAGGTATTGATAATCTTTGAACAATACCTTCTAAACGAGGGTCATTCTAGCTAAAAAATCCTTGGTTAATAAGATTAATAATTTACTTTGAAAATTCAATTCTTTCTGGGATAAAAACAATTGGGGATGTCATGGGATAGATAGTATCCTAAATATTAGTTGGTATTTCAAATATCCGACCACCCTAATAGGCAAAGAGATTATTAAATCAAAATAATTTTGTTTAAAGTTCCTTTTTTTTTTTTTTCCATCCAGAACTATCATGTTCCATCAGCACACTATGGTTTATATGATACACATCTAGTAGTTGACCAACGTTTATATTGGCAAATAGGGTGTTTCCAAGTCCATGACCTAGTACTACTTATTTTTTGAGTTTTAATTGCTATCTTATTAGTTTTAACTACTATATTTGTTCGAATCCCACAAATTATTCCAACTCAGGGTTAGAATATCTTCGAATATGTTCTTGAATTCATTTGAGACGTGAGTAAAACTCAATTGGAGAAGAATATGGTCCTTGGGTTACTTTTATTTGAACTATGTTTCTATTATATTTGTTTCTAATTGGCCGGCCTCATGGAGAGTTACCCACACCAACAATTGATATAAATACTATTGTTACATTAATCACGTCAATGACATATTTCTATGTGGGTCTTACCGAAAAAAGGATTTAAGTTGTTTTGGAAAATATATTAAACCATCTTCAGTCCTTTTACCTATTAACATCTTAGAAGATTTCACTAGGTCCTTATCACTTAGTTGTCAACTTTTTCTGGAATATCATAACGGTTAAGTTAGTAGTTGTTGTTCTTGTTTCTTTAGTACTAGTTGTTTCTATCATTTTCATGTTCCTAGAATCATATACAAGTGGTATCCACGATCTTATTTTTGCAATTAGTTGCGGTTTATGTAGGTGAGTCTATGGAATGTCGCCAGCAGAACTTCATGGTACCAAAAAACCCTCATCGTCTTATAATTCAGCAAACTACAGAAGATGAAGAGATTGAGGAAGAGTCATTTTTCACCTTAGTGACAAAACAATGTATGTGTGGCTCAGGATAATTTACTTAAGGAATGAAAATATACGACTTTATATATGATATAAAGTAAAAGGTAATTGGAACATTAAAAAATAAAAAATCGATATTAGTGAGTCTTAAAAATATGAATTTAATAAACGTGCCTATCACGACTTTTTACCGGTCGAATTAGACGTTTTAATCGAGTTGTGATGTATGATCAAGAGTAGAAAATAATCGGAACAAAAAATAATATATTACAATATTATATGCTTATCACATGATCCTTTACCGTCTATTTAGACGTTTCAATCAAGTTGGAACATCGTGCGCGCAGTGTTAGAAGGTATGGGATATGGGGTAACCCTTAGGAAAGGGTATTGAATTTACCAAGACAAAATTAACAGAGTTTAACATTCTAAGCCCTCGTTTGACAACCATTTTGTTATTGAATGAAATAGTGTTTTTTAAAAAATGAGTGGTTGAAAAAGGAAAAAAATTCGATTTACGTATAATATTATTTTAAGGAAGATTATGTGGTTGAAAATAAGAAATAGAAAAATGAAATATAATGAAATGCAAATTAATGGAGGCCACCTAAAACTACATCCGAAAAAACGACAAAATTCCACCAAGAAAAATAGGATAGCAAATATTGTAACTTTTTTTAGCATTCATCTACGTCATTTTTCTTCATACAATACGAATTTTCTACTTCAACGTGACACGAATTACATTAACTGTTTGATCCGCATTATTTGGCAAAATAAAATACATTCTTGACATCATTTCAACCACACATTCTTCAATGAAATACTATTACGCCAAAATCCAAAACTTTTCTTTATTTTTAAACCACATATTCTCCATCAATCTACTATTTCAAAATACATTCTTAAAAAATAATGTGGCTCAGACATACTAAAAAAAAAAAAAAAGATTCAGAATAATTTAGATTACTTACTACAGTATTCCATTTAAATGCAACAAATCACAGCTCACACAGATATTACGCATATAAACACCCCATTGATAGGTACCAAGGCTTCGTTGAGGGGGAAAAAACTTGATAAAATCCTGGAACGACGAGGAGTGGAGAAGCATTCTTATCTTACCTCAGGGAGTTATGGGATCATTTATTCCTCCCAGAAAGGTTATTAAAACCCAAAATATGAGAATTCCAATGATAGCAGTCCTCAGTACCTGCATGCAGTGATTACTATCAACCAGTATATCATCTGGATAGCTTGGAGGCAATGATGGTAAATCCTCTGTACTACTATTATCAGCAGCAGACTCTGCCGTGTTCGGCTCAACATAGTAAGATTGTTGTACTATCTCCATTCTAGGGTTAGCACATCTTGTGCATGTGCATTGTCCTCCAAGGTACGAAGGGAGCGTCTGTAAACACTCGGAAAGAACCTTCAGGTACGTCTCTCCTACAATTCTCAGTTTTTCCTTTGTGGCAGGTTTGAGAACCTGAGGAAAGGAGACATCACATTTTCACGAAATGAAATAAAGGCAAAACTTCACTATTGGTTCCCAACATACAATACAGATGCAAGTCAGAACATTGACCCCCCAAATGTTGCAAAATTGGTCCCCAGAAGTGAAGACCGTTCAAATCTTTGTTAAATTGTCACTTGCCCCTAATGGGAAACATGACTCGCCTCAAAGTTCAAAATTTTGAGCACCAGCCTTAGTTGGGAAACAAATTTTGGCTTAAAATAGATGGACACTTATGGGCCACGTGACAATTTTACAGACTTGAATGATTTCCGTCGTTGGGGACTGATTGTGCAACAACAATGAAAAGTTGAGGACGAATGGAGCAGTTTTCACACAACAATTGAGTTATCCGGAGAAAGAGAGCACTTTTTGGATATTGTCATATTTTATGAAAATAAAAATGTCACACTGAAGCTTACTTGAATAAATGTTTGAGCAAGTACACGAACAACTGGAGGAAGCCGTATAATAAACAAACAGCCAAGAAGATTTGGGAAGTTATCTTGCAAAAGATTACAGCAGTATCTTAGCATTTTCATAGGAAGTCTCAGAGGTGACAAACCGTGACAATCCAATAAAACAGTAATTTGAGGATTTTTTCCATCCACCAAATGCAGCACTCCATGCTCCACCTGAGATACTTCAATACTAACATTCATAAATTTTTTGTTTTCATGAGTATGCTTTGAGCATGTCTTAAATCAAAGATATGTGTAAGATATGATGCGATTTTGTAATAAAATCTCTATTTAAAACTCATTAATAAAATTTTCTTATAAGAATTTCAAGCCATTGCTAAAGGTAAGCACAAATAATTGCTACTTTTACTTCTTTTTTAAAATTTTTTTTCTCAATGGACAACTGCAAGAATAAAAAATCGATAAAAATGTTACAAAGCCATTCATGAAAATATCTAGATGGCAAAAGCATCAAATTTTCTTGAAAAACTTATTCATCTAATTTCTAGCATTGTAATGTTTTTTCGCAATCAAGCTAGGAGACTTCTCTTATATTGTGATCTGATTCATCTACCTACCAACTGCCAACAGATCCCTAGAACCTCATGCTGTCCTGCATATCATGAACTTCTTACGATATGCAATTAAAAAATAAGAATATAATTCCTCTACAATCCTAAACTTTTCAGGATTTGATGTGATAAATAATGCATCAGTCATTCCTTTACGTCCACAGCTTCCCAAGAAAAAACCAAAACAAAAAATAAAAGAACCTAAGAATAATAAAATTACCCTCTGCCTTACTAGCAGTCTATGGAGCCATCTACGAAATTGCTAATCAACACATATAAATAAAGGATTAGGTATACACAATGGATACAGAAACTACATAAATTTGGGCTCCACTCTTCCAAAACTCATTTTCAACCACACATTCTTCTATAAAATAATGTTACACATAAACCCAAAACTTTTCTTATTTTTTAACCACACATTCTCCAAAAAGTCACTATTCCAAAACACATTTCCTGCCAAAATCTCATTTTAATGGAGCCCAAACAGGGGCAAAGTATTTCAGATTCCAAATTGAGATTAGAATACAGTTGCAAAGTGTAAATACTAAATATGAACAATTGAACAGGTCTGTATGAAACATTAGAACCATAGGTACATATCAAGAAGAAAAATAAAAAACCGGAGAGGGAACTGAAAGAGCATACCCACTGCCTGAACAAAGCGTGGTCTATGATGAGACGACAAGCTGGCGGAAGCCATGCCAAGACGGATGATAAGGCATGGCCGATGGTTCACATCAAATCCATGCCAGAAGACCATATTTGACCACATCTCAAGTTCTCCTCCGGAGAGAATTCTGTAGGTCTCTCTCCAACGTATTGTTTTTTTTAGTGATAATATTAAACTCGATAAATCACCATTTGCAGCAATATAAAATCTCTGGAGATCGCCTTTGTTAATTCTGCAGAATGCTGCTATGTCATGTTCCATTACAAGAAGGAAAACAAGGATATTCAATGTTTACTGGATGATTTATCAAGTTACGATAAGAAGAGATATTTGAACAACGAGTGTCCCTTGGAGTCAATTATTGGAAAAAATCTAATTACCCACGAAATGATAAAATGCACTAAAAGAGTTGGTCAGATGCACAGAAACTGTTGGATCAACAAAAGATAATTTTAAAAAAAAAATGTATAGTGATATTGACACATATTAATTAGCACCATTATTTCTGCCTACAATGATTAATCATTTTTAGTGTAAATTCATCCAAGATAAAATAAATAGAAATGCTATTACACTAGTTAAAAAATTTCATGTATACCCCAAGATCAAATGATAAGGTAATACTAATACAATATAGTGTAAACACTAAGAGGTAGGGTAGGTGATAAAAACCAGATGTAATTAACAGAAGATAGAAAGGAGGAATTGCAAGAAGAAAATAGGGGTAGCAATATTACCCACCCGCCTCGGCGTGCGTTGCCCCGAACCTACCCCAGCAATTATATTTTTATTTTTTTCTATTTTATTTCATGTTTTAAAATTTAAATCATATTTACAAAATAAAAAATATTTCAAAATTTAAATAAATAAGTGAACAGGAATATTTTAATCCCGCCCGCACTAACACCCAAACATCCCCCGCCAGGCAAAGACGGCCCTATCCTGTACAATCCCTAGAAGAAAAAGACAGCTGATTACTGCTTTACCAAAAACCAAAAAAAAGAAAAAAAAGAAAGAAAATTAAAAGGAATTGCTCCAAGACCTGATTGGAGTCCTAGGTTTAGTCAAAAAAGACCCAAGATAAATTAATTGGAATATTATACACATGAATAGCACCAAATATGAAGTATGGATAAAGAGCCAAACAAAGGGCTCCATGTAATAGCTTCTCTACAGTTCAAGTTCTTTTTTGCAATTAGACAACAGAGATATATTATAAAGACGTTCTAGGATCAGGAACAACACAGTGTACTAAATTTACCTTTCCGGCAAAGCAATTCCCTGATTTTCTAGCTCTTTATGAACATGGCATAGCCAGTCATTTTCAGGATTTTCATCACCAGTCCTGTACAGTGAAAACGAGTAATAGATGTAGAAAACCAGAGAAAGAAGCTTAAATGCTAAGCATTGAGTCCGACACAGTTAATAGAAACAAAAGTTCACATAATTTTAGATATCTTAAATTTGGATAAGCAATAAAATCAGATTCAATCTGGGTAAAACTCTGCTGCAAGCACAGACAGAATCCAAATTTAAGCAAATTCCTTCATCTTGCACAATGGCAAACGAGAGAAGGGACAAAGTGTATGTTTACGAAGGGGGTTAAAGTAGTTCCGGAGTTTCAGAGTTTAGGGTAACTTTTACAAATATGAGAGAGAGAGAGAACAAAAAACTGCAATGAGATTCAGGCATTCGAACATTTGCATCATAAAAGACAGAAGACGAGAAGGGCATGTTTACAGAGCCTTAGGCTATGCATTGATTGTAAAGCAAGCATTTTATCTTTAATGACTTAATCCAATTATTTAATGGCCCCAACATCTTACTTGTCTTCACAACATCTTTCATGGTAGGATATAGCCTACCTATTATTTCTCTAGATGGCCCAGCACCCTCTTCCAAATAGATTGCACAGCAGCATTTGACCACAATAATTCCTATGATGTCTGCTATAATCTTTCCATTTGCTTAGATAACCTTTTATATCTTTTCGTGGGTTAGAGAAATACTATAAACACGAGCATTCCATTGAGACTGATCAAAAACATTGTTCACGAATCTCTAAGCTGGTGGATGTTAAGTGAGAATAAGAACCAATTTGCATACCTCATGCTGTCAGTACTCTCTTCAGATGGGGATTCTAATCGAGGTTCTGCTTGCAAATCATTGGTGTTTTGAGAATTTTCAATACCATCTGGGACAAAATTGCTGCAATCTGAATGATTAGAGATAGCAGTCCCAATGGAGAGCACCAATAATGGTCGAGATAACATCTACAACAAAAATAAATACCATGAACAGGAAAAGTCCAGAGAAATGAATATACGGGCACAAACTCTTAATAACAAAATCAAATTGGAGAAAATTAATAAACAAGTATAATAACATGTGAAAACCTCCATGGTTAAATGATATAAATCGATTCCACAGCCAGGCTTTAACAAATGTGGTCTCAATTTTAAGCAAGCCCAAGAAGGAGATTCAAAATGAAACCATGTAGATGCTTCTTCAATATTGACACTACTTCTTATTTTCACGTGTATAATCCACTGTTGAGCAAATGTAAAATCCAGCGTTTCAAAGAAAATCTAAGTAATAATGATATTAAAATTAGCTTGATAAGAAAAATAATTTTTAACAGAAAGAAATCCAATGTTCAAAGAAAATGTGAAACCAATTTCTCAATATTTATATTCCACAAAACATTATTGAGTTTTAAACTTATATAACAAGTACAAGATTAAGTGAAATTATTATTACTATCTAATTATTAAACGTAATATCTGGCCTTCAAAGAATGCCCAAATAGAATATATAAATCTATAAACCTTTCAAGAATAACTTTATTAGCTGTATCTTTGGAAAGACAATGTATTCAAATAAGTCCAAAATCAGTTGGATGTGCACTGTTTGATTCAGAAACACATTCAGGTAGACAAATACATAACAACGTTTAAGAATTTCAAGTTAGTTGACCATGCTGCTTCATGTTGCGTGGATTAGAAGTCAAATTTCGGCCCTGACACTTGTAGTATTCTTGAATCACATCAACATCCTTAAATAAAGCTTCAAATGACTATGAAAACAGACATCCCACCAAATATGCACAAAAGATCAAGGAATGATAGCTCCTAGTTTTTTTTTTGCAACAGAAAAATCCTACCTTCACTGTTGAACATAGAGCTCTAGGGAGGCTTCAAGCAATTTGTAAATTGAATAATGCAAGTTTTCAACCTATATCATATAATATGCGTGCAAATGCTTAGCTATGGAATGCATATCACACCTCTGTCAATTAAGAACCTACCTGCATTCCTTTAATTACGAATCCAAAAGGATTCCAGCACTGAAGCCATTTAAATGGGGGATAACAAAGAATTTGCAAAGCTTGCAGCCCAGTCCAGAGGAACGGACACCTTGCATTTGAGAACCTTCGCAATGTCTCTAATGCAAGAGTTTTAATTAGAAATGATGCCGCCTGACCAGCACTTCCCTTTACAATCTTCCAATCTTTGGACAAAACTATTGGTCTTAAAGGCTGATGCTCAAAAGATGTAGAGCCAGAAGTGAATGAACGTCTTTTTGATACATTTGTACTAGTAGAAAAACTTGTCACGTCAGACTTTGTGCAAGAACTAATATCTTCAGTTGAGTCACTCATTGAAATACTGCAATGAACTTTTGCAAGAATCGAGAAAGAAGAGATGATATCGGGGAGATAGCTCAGATGCCAAGCCAAACAACACTTTGAGTGCTCGAACAACCAATTCTCTTATGTGACAATAACATTGAACTGAATATCAGAGAATTCTCAGATCAAAATTCCGGATGTCAATTCTTGCTGCTCAAACCCTGTCAATGAAGCTCCTCTTTACGTAATCTCTTGAATATAAATCGGTAAGATTACAACCTACATTAGAATACATAATAGTCATATGAACTTTGTTCATGAAGTGTAAAACTCACTTGTACCCATAAAACACAATTTTATCTAACTCTAATGTGGTGAGAAAAAATTATAAACTAGAGATAAATTACATCTATCTGGAAATACAATAATAAAGAACAAAAGCACTGTATCTACCAATGAGTCATAAGGAAGTACACGCATTATGCATTTATTTCTACGTTAATACTGACGGGATGGTAAGCTAATTTATGCCTAGATGTCAATACAGTTGACTGCAAATATAAAGAGTCACAAAGGAGGGAGAGAGAGAGAGAGAGAGAGGGAGAGCAATCCCAGTGATAATACTGCAATAATTGGATGCTCACCTCAATTAGCTGCATTGGTATCTATCATTCATAAATCTGCAGGCATATACTGCAAAAATTTAGTGTGGAGCTAATCAACTTGTATAAGCTGACCTACGATATAACTGAAGATAGAGTGAAAGTGAGAATCCTACTTTCCAAAGAATACTTTTATCTGGAAAGGCACCAAATATATGTAGAGATTTATGCAAAAGAAGATAACAAATTTTAACCATCTGAACGAGAATGAATCTATAATATTAACATACTCGTTTTTTGGATCATAATCATTATATAGGAGAGATGGCCGAGTGGTTTAAGGCGTAGCATTGGAACAACCCCCCCCCCCCCCCCCCACCGCCCCCTGTGTTCGGTTCATTCGCAAAAGTTACATTCTTTATGAATCAAGTACCAAAGATGCAAGCAGCGGTGGTGCTCCCACAAACGAAACAGTAGCGTGATGTTCAACGAGAATCAACGTTGGAAGGACATCATACCAGTCAGATCATTAAAGATGGCATAATAAACTGATATAAGACATGTAGATCAATATGTAATGCATTATTTGTATACCACCATTGCATCATCTACAAATATGTTGCACCAAATTATTAAAAAAAAAATCTATTGAGGTCATGCCACGTAAAGTTTAAATTTGCATTGACATAATCTCCGAAGCTCTGGGCATACTAAAAATAAATAAAAATCACTCATACAGAAACTGCCCTATGTTTAGCTAGTGTGATAGGAGGTTTACCACATTAAATACTATTTTCCTTTACTGTATGTCACTGGGTAATTTGGTTATTCACCATGTACAGGGATTCCTGCTTTGCATACGCCACAGATAGATTAAAATGCTCATCTCGTAATTGAAAAATTCGTATGTTCAATTCCTAAGTAAGCTGGAGCTTCGAGGTCAGCCTCTACTTCATAAGCCCAATTCTGATTTCCTCACTCGCTAGCAACCGGCACCAACCGATGGTAATTGATTTGGAGCATTTAGACAAGTAAATTTTTTATTCGTCCTTGCTCAATTCCATCCAGCATTGCTTAGGAGGCTTACCAAATAATGGCATTAAGTCCCTAACTACTGTGCTGAGGGTAATCGCCTTAGGTCATAAGAATTATATCTTTTTCTAAGTCTACCACTTTGATAATGGGATCAACATTCGCTGTGTACTATAAATCTACCACTAATATTTGATACCAATTAATCCCCTAAATTTGACATTATGATGGACACCTTCTGAGTTCTGACGGCAACTGCAAGCTAATTAATTCAAAAGCTTGGAATAACATAATGTCCTATTACTATAGAAATTCTCTAAATTAAAAACCCAACCCATGATTATTCAAAACTAGGAATGAATTATCAGACGATGCAGAGTTTCGTGAGTAATTCACTTATGTGATTAAAAAATCAAATTAAATTACTCATGAAGAAAAAAAAATACAACTTGATAGTATAATAATGATTAAAATTTACCTATTTAACTTTCAGATCATCGGAAAGACACAAATCTGAAGCTCTGCATTAAATGTAAAGGTAGAAGTGAGGTGAAGCTATCTGTCGTGTCCAATTGATCGCGTAGGAAGGAAATGGACGAAAAGCGGGGAGTGGTCCCACTCGAGGAAATAGTGGACCGGCCCGGCCAATTTGCAAAGAGGACTTTGACCAATTAAAAAAAAAAAAACAAAAATATTTAAAATATTGAAAAGCAAGAGAAATTAAAATTTACCCTTATCATTTAAAGAAGAGAGAGAAGATAGTAAGGAAATAGGGAAATTACCGTAGCACCGACAAAAAAGGAAAATAGGCTACCCATATTTAATGTTTTTATGTTGATTTTTGGAAAAAAAAAAATGATTTTAGATACATGTGTTGATTTTTGAAAAAATACATGATTTTTGGATAAGAATAATAATTTCGGGGGGGAAATGGAGTGGAGATCGTCAGAAAAAGAGTTTTCTAGCGATCTCCACGAAAGAGATGGTTGGCACAGCAAACAAGACGGCCCAGACTCGTCCAGATAGCCCAGTCAACTGGGCCATCTGGGCTGACCATTATCTAGGCCCAAACAATTTTTTTTATTACTTATTTATATATTTCATTTAATTATTGAAGCTATTTATTTTAATTGCTTATATTGTTTTGTCTAATATTTAATTATTATTTGAATTGTTTAATTTTAATGCATATTATGTATTTAAAATTATTTCTTTGAAATGCTTAATATAAATGTTTTATTATTTATCTAAATATTTATTATTTGTTAATTTAGTTTAATTACTTATTTTATGTTAAGCAATAGTAAAAAAATTAAAGAAATAATTAAATTTTAAATAAGTAATATATATAAAGAATTTTAATAAATATTTAAACATTTATAAAATAATAAATAAGTAATTAAATTAGGAAATTAAAATATCAATCAAATTAAATTTCTGCAAAGTAATTAAAATAAATTTTTAAATATTAAATAAGCAATATGCATAAAGAATTAAAAAAAGTATTTAAACATTAATTAAAAATAAATAATTAAATTAAATGTTAGTAAAATAATTAAAATAATGAATTGAAATAATAAATAACTAATTGAAATAAATTAAATAAATATTAATAAAATAATTAAAATAATGAATTGAAATAATAAATAACTAATTGAAATAAATTAAATAAATATTAATAAAATAATTAAAATAATGAATTGAAATAATAAATAACTAATTGAAATAAATTAAATAAATATTAATAAAATAATTAAAATAATGAATTGAAATAATAAATAACTAATTGAAATAAATTAAATAAATATTAATAAAATAATTAAAATAATGAATTGAAATAATAAATAACTAATTGAAATAAATTAAATAAATATTAATAAAATAATTAAAATAATGAATTGAAATAATAAATAACTAATTGAAATAAATTAAATAAATATTAATAAAATAATTAAAATAATGAATTGAAATAATAAATAACTAATTGAAATAAATTCAATAAACAAGTAACTTAAATGTTAATTAAGCAATAAAAATAATTAATTAACATAAATAATAAAAACTAGTTTAAATATGTATTTAAATATTAAATAAACAATTGAAATAAATAATTAGAATTTAAATATTAAATAAATATTTTAAATGAACAATAAATATAAAAAGAAGTAATTTAAATAAGTAATTAAATATTAAACAAACAATTGAAATAAATAATTAACATTTAAGTATTAAATAAAAAATAATTAACATTTAAGTATTAAATAAATAATTTAAATGAACCATAAATATAAATAATAAAAATAAGTAATTAAATATTAAATAAACATTTGAAATAAATAATTAACATTCAAAATAAACAATTAAACATTCAATTAACAATTAAAATAAATATTAAATAAACAACCAAACAATTAAAATAAATAATTTAAATACGCATTTAAATATTGAATGAACAATTTAAATGAACAATTTAAATAAATAGTTAACAATTAAATATTCAATAAACAATTTAAATAAATAGTTAATAATTAAATATTTAATACACAATTTAAATAAGTAAATAAACTATTTAATTTTCAAATATTATGTTCTATCTATTGTCTCTTATACAAGGTCCAAATATTTTAAATTTTACAAGATGAATTACTATTTGGACGTCGCTATGAGATAGATTCCCGACAAAGTTACGCCAAACTATAATTTTGTCAGCTTCGCATTAGTTCTAGATTTGTTGGATGAAGAGCGCGCACACCTGTTACACCAATCTTGCTTATGACGGTAACTTTGGCACGGTTAGGTGATGCATTCAATGAATGCGACGATATGTTTGACAAGTTGAAGTTTTGGATATTTATACTAGAGAGCATACTGAGGTGTCATCACAATAAAACGTCGATCGACGTCTTTCATTTGGAAGTTGTTGATGACATTAACACATTCAACAACTATCCATGGGGATAAAGCTGACAGTTATCAGCTCTCCTCAACGATCCTGAGATACGTATTATTCATTTGTGATTTATGTTGTACGTCATTTCAAAATTTCGATATATGGTCATTAACTCGGTGAACATTTAAATAATAATTAAATGATTATTTGAATGATAAATAATTAAATGATTATTTGAATGATAAATAATTAAATGATTATTTAAATGATAATAAATAACTAATTGATATAAATTCAATAAACAAGTAACTTAAATGTTAATTAAGCAATAAAAATAATTAATTGACATAAATAACAAAGAAATATAAATATTTTAAATTTTACAAGATGGATTACCATTTGAATGCAGCCATAAGACAGATTGCTGACAAAGTTGCGTCGAACTATAAATTTGCCAGCTTCGCATTAGTCCTATTTTGTTGGATGAAAAGTACACAGACCTGTTATACCGATCCTACTTATGACGGTAACTCTGGCACGGTTAGTAGATGCATTCAAGAAATATGACGATATGTTTGACAAGTTGAAGTTGGGGATGGTGTTTATACTGGAGAGCATACTGAGGTATCATCACAAGAAAACGTTGATTGGCGTCTTTCATTTGGAGGTTGTCAATGACATTGACACATTCAACAACTATCCATAGGACAAAGCTGACGGTTATCAGCTTTCCTCGACGATCCTGAAATACATATTATTCATTTTGTGATTTATGTTGTACGTCATTTTGAAATCTCGATGCATGGTCATTAGCTCAGTGAAATATTAATATGTCAGCTTGAATTGCTCACTGAGCTGTGACCATTGATCGAGAAGGAGGGTCAGAGTCATATCTGAAGAGATACAGTACGTAGGTGATAAGGGTCTCAAACAGTAATAGAGAGTAGCGGAGATGGTGACAGGAAGGGTGACGGTGGAGGGGTGGGGATGTATACAGTTGTTTCATTAGAATCATTATGGATGTCAGTGGAGATGGAAGAGGTGTCGATGGTGGGGATGAAATAATTGTAATAATTGTATTTTTTTATGAGATAATTGTATATATTGTGAAATTTATTTAAATAACGTAATGAAATATTAAATACATACTACACACAGCTAATTAAGATAATTTATAAATGAAATATCTAAATAAGAAATTAAATTAAATATTACTTTTTTATTTAATTAAGTGATTAAATAAATAATTAAACAACGTAATTAAATATTAAATAAATAATATACATAACTATGTCGAAGAGGACCCCCAACCTGACAGATAATGTCGCGAGTTTGGATGGCACCTTGTACGAAACATATTTTTGACATGCCAGAGCAAATTGTTAGCAAGAGGACTAGATTGTTGTCACAACACATTGTTTTTCCATTCGATCGAGGTAAAAAAGAGAACATCTGTTGACGGTACGTTGCTCAACCTCTTTTGTGAAATCGACTTGGGCGACTGTGAAATCTTCGCATTTAAGTTAGGGTTGTAAATGGATCGGATATATGGATCGGATTTGCTCAAATCCGATCTGATCCGTTAATAATAATTATCCTATCTGATCCAATCCGATCCAATAATTCGACGGATATTTGAATGTTAAATCCATATCCGATTAACTATGTTATCGGGTATCCGATCCGAAATTGAAAAAATTAGAAAAATAAAGATTTTATTTATTTATCAGATAGGAATGACCTATATCCATATTTGATTCATTTAGTTAACGGATTATCGAGTTTGAATCTCGATTGGGTTATCAGATTAAGGCCCTAAATCTATCTCCCATTAATTTCATTGGATTTAGATCAAATTCGGATCAAAATCCAATCTATTAATTCATTTGCTTAACGAATTATCGAATTCGAATCTCGATTGGGTTATCGGATTGAGACCCTAAATCCATCTCTCATTAATTTCATCGAATTCGGGTCAAAATTCAATTCATTGACAACCCTAATTGAAGTACATTAAATTTTTAGTATCGAACGTGGTGTAGAGCTAATAAACTAAACACACATTAAAATGCAAGCGTTCTTTTATGTACATTGTGATCCGTAATTGTAATAATTTCAAAAGTAAGCATTTTTTTTAAAATGTTTGTAATACTTTAGTTTTTATGTAATTATATAATAAATAACTAATTACTCTTAATTACATATATAACACACTATAAATAAAGAAAATTGAGGAAATCAATAACACACTATAAATAGAGAGTACATAGGATTTAAATAGATATTACACATTCGTTAGGTAGAAAGTAATATACCATAATTGGAAACTTCTCACTCGACTTCATTTTGTAGAGGAAATATAGTATTGGCATTATTGAATAATGTTTAATGTATTGTAAATCTGACCATGTCTAAAGTTCAACTTCCATCTCTGTTAAATATTCTCATACACCATGTGATTTATGTTCTAATTAAATATTCAATAAATAATATACATAAACAATTAAGATAATTAATTAATGAGATATTTAAAGAATAAATTAAATTAAATATAAATTTTCTATTCGAATAAGTGATTAAATAAAGTAATGAAATATTAAATAAACTATATACATAACAAATTAAGATAATTAATTAATGAAATATTTAAAGAAGAAACTAAATTAAATATTAATTTTTTATTTGAGTAAGTTTTTAAAATAAATAATTAAATATGCATAACCAATCAAGATAATTAATAAAAAAAATATTTAAATAAGAAATCAAATTAAATATTGGATAATTCTACATGTACTAATTCATAAGGATGTTCATGATGTACATATGGAGTTCCATGAGTGGATGATCGAAAAAACTGTTTTTCAAATATCCAATAATGTTATGTCACATGTGCATTATGGTATAATATTTTTATTTAAATAAATAACTAAAATAAAGTAATTAAATATTAATGACAATATAATAGACATAACCAATTAAGATAATTAATTACTGAAATATCTAAATAAGAAATTAAATTAAATATTATTTTTTATTTAATTAAGTGATTAAATAAATAACTAACCAAAGTAATTAAATATTAAATAAAGAATATACATAATTAATTAAGATAATTAATTAATGAAATATTTAAATAAGAATTAAAATAAATATTAATTCTTTTATTTAAATAAGTGATTAAATAAATAATTAAATAAAGTAATTACATTTTAAATACATAATATACATAACCAATTAAGATAATTAAATAATGAAATATCTAAATAAGAAATTATATTAAATATTAATTTTTTATTTAATTAAGTGATTAAATAAATAATTAAAAAA